GATCGCTGGAGGTGTACCTTCGAAGGCGTCTGTGGAAACTTCGGTCAGGATCGGGATCGGGCGGGAAGCGAATGAATCTTTTTGGTGCTTCGAGCTGGGGGGCTGGGGGACTGGGGGGCGAAATGACGTCGCCGAGTTTTAGTAGGTGCTGCGAGCATTTCGATGTTGTCATTTCAGGTGTTCAGGGCTGATCGATTGATGGTCCACGACAACACTTGCTCCAGGAAAGGAGGAGGGACGTGTCAAGAGACGTGCAGGGAGGGTGTTCGAGAGAGAGAATTGTGTCAAGGATGTGCAGGAAAGGACAAGAGTGAGAGCGTCGTCAGAGGACAGCCGTGTTTTTCCTTTGTGGGTCAGGCGGGTGTGTGTGTGTGTGAGTGTGACTCACTGGACAATCTTTTTCTGGCCAAAAGTATCCCCCCTCTCTACAAGTGTGTTATTACGGTATGTTCTCTTTGGAGGGTGGGTTGCGCTTGGCCGCTGTGGGGCCCAGTCTTTTTGGTTTCGCGGCTCGTCCTTCTTCTTCGGCGTGCCGCCGGCTCTCGCAGGTGCGGATAGGGCGCACAGGAGCTTTGGTTGAGGACTTGACGTTCCCGCAACCATTTTTGTTGCGGATGTCTCTCTCGGGCTAAAGGCATTGCGGAGGCGTGGCTGTGAGGACCTTGGGAACCGAGGTCCGGTGGTTGCGTCTTTAACATGGGCGACCAACAGCACGTCCCCTCGCGCCACAACGAAGGATTTTATTTTGAACTGGTTGGCACCAGGGACCTGCGTTTAGCTAGCGTTTGTGGTGCCCCCCCCCCGGTAACGGTGGTCGTGTAGGTGTGTCCTTTGGCGGCCATTCATCAGTTGTGATGCACAGGCCCGTCTTTCGAGACCCTTCATAGGAGGCCCTGACGATGCTGTTGGCGTCCACGTGGCGCTTTTGTAGAACCCCAACCCCTCGGCAAGGTCTTGGTCGCGGTGTTGTTGTACGTGAGGAGTACGCAGCGGATCCACCTCTGGAGAGCTGCGTGTGTCAGCGGTGTACGAGAATCACCGTTGCCTTTCAGGAGGAATGGGCAGTCTCAAGGCCTCCGCTGGTTCGATGGTCCCCGCGAGATTGGTGTAGAACTAGCGGTTTTTATCAGCAGAGGCGCCTTTGTCGACGCGGGGCTAGGTGCTGGGTAGACGGCTGAGTGCAATTCGGCCTGACAACGAGACCTCTTCCAGGGCTCCTCCGGCCTGCGTTCCCTCTGTTTTTTGTCCACGGCATGAATGCCGCAACTTTTTGCGTTTGTTTCAAACCCGAAGTCTAGTGCTTCGGTCGGTGTTTTGGAGCGTTCCCTTTGTTGTTTTCCTGCTGTTGCCGGTGGGCTGGGTCGTTTAGTTGGGCGGTTGTGCTTGTTTTCGGTGGCATCATTCGGGGTCGATTGTTTGGAGTCCCGCCTTGCGCCTTGCGGGACCCGACATGAGGAGTGCTTTGGCCTAGAAACCCTTTTTGTTCGTAGTTTCTTCTTCTCACACACATGATATTTATGTTTGGGATGATGTTTGTCCCCCGTTCTCTGCTGCTATTTTTTCCTCGTGTTCTCCGATTGATTGGGCTGTAACGTCTACCATTTTTTTCTTCTTGTCCCGTTGTGTTTCTCTCCCTCTTCTCCGTTCTCTTTTTTACAAGATGTTTTTTGGGGGGGATCGGTAGGTTTCGTGCACGTCGATCAGTCCATGTTGCGTACTTTATTGGTATTTGTCATGCGGTCTGCGTTGGGTAGGCGGGGGGTAGTTTGATATAATGTAAGACAGTCGGCTATGGGCGCCACGGTAAAGGATCGTACGACACGTCACGAGTACAAGTGGGCACAGACCGCCCCCTATGCCAGAAGCTGGCACGTGAGGCATCGAGGGTTCAGTTTTCTCGACCGAACCTGAGTGCCAGGACAGGTGGTGCTCGGTTGCTTGCAAGGTGCCATGTCGTATGCATGCCAACGAGAACCCACGAAAGATTTGAACGTTTGGCTTTGCTGCGCGCTGTGCAGCAGTGCTATTTTTGTACTTTGAAGTGACCACCCGAGCTGCGGCTTGCGTTTGATCAAAAGAGACGCTCGTGATCTTGCAGGCTACCGGCACCTCCCCTCCGCCGATAACTGGCCATTACTCTTGCCATAAGATGTCGCGTAATACCTGCCAAATCATCACGTGCTGCATGTCGTCCCATTTGTTCTGGAGGCATACCGTATGTGGGCGACGCATTGGCCGGGCTCACAAAGCGGGAGGAAGGGTGCACAACAATTACCTCATGCTTTGTTCTTGGTAAGGTGAACCAACCACAGAATCTCGCCATTCGTGTGGTCCTTGTTTCGACTGTCGAATGGCGATGACCAACGGCCCCCCTCTCTGTGTAGCCGAGCAAACGAGTCCTTCTATTGCCCCCCGGTACGAGCAGTCCCGCTCACACACTTCTTCCCCGGCCACCGAAGACAAGAACAAGTCATACCGAGCTTCCACTCTTTTCACGTGGTACGTTAATACGCCCACATGTCATCCTTCCCTACCAAGAAATGCGACGGGCTGAAGCCGGCGGAACACCTGACATGCACCGCCCACGAGGCCCGATTGGCTCAAGACCACCCGCAAGAAGGAGCACAAACAGCACTGTTCCTGTTACACACATCCCTTTGAGCTCCTCCCGGCGACTGACACCGACCACGTCAAAGGAGCACCTGGCAGCGGAAAAAGCACTTGCTCCGGGGGGCGCCGCCACATGGAGATAAATATCTCCGTAGGTAAGAACACGAGTCTTGATTCTAGTAATGCACAACACATCCTGGGGCGGTGCACCATGCTTGATGCCCAGCTCGCAGAGGAAGCGAAGCAACTACAGCCTCGAGAAAGTCATCGAGGAGGGTCAAAAAGTGGGCCAAGCCACAGGGTCCTGCTTTATTGCTATCGAGCCTGCTTCTTCAAAGCACTAAATTTCAAGGCGGGAAATTGCTGTTGTAATTTATCTAGAATGTAGGCCACGAAGACCTGCAACAAAGTTTTCTTACCTCCTTGCGCGATGAGAACTATGCTGGTACAAACGAAATATTCCGGGACAGGATTTGGGCCCTACCATGAAAGCAATCGCCAAAAGGTCCACGCGAGAAGGTACGCACACCATATGGCAGTAGGACGTGACGGACACACGCGCCAAATTAGGCCACAAAAGCACCGTCCTTTGAGTGAGGGTACCTGATCTTCGTTTCCCCTTCCGGGCAACCCAACATCGACAAGACAGGGTCCCCAAAGGTTCAAGCAACAACCTCTTGAAAGGCTTGGCCTCAGCTTCTCCCCCACCAAAGTCCCGAAGATGCGGCGCGCTTTGCGGCCAACAACAAAAAAAGGCTAGCAACCTTCAGCAAGAGGACAAGGGCCAGATCAGGCCGACATACAACTCGACTGTAGGCTGCAAGATTCATCTGGTTGCCAGGTTGGCTACTTTTGCTGGCTGGGTCCGTGCAACGTCCCTTTCTCCGACCGCAGATGAAGGAGGGTTCTCAACCCGTACTATTTACGTCGAAAACGGTGTGTCGATCTTCCTCAACGAGCGAACCATCCCCTTGTTCGCGACTTCCACATACTCCTGAAGCGCGTCTCTTCCCGCCTCCCACGCAGCTATTGCCGCCTTCATGTTCATTTTCGGGGCCGTTTTCGTTTGTTGGGGAGGCAGGACGGAATAATCGCGCGAGGCGGACAATATAAGACGGCATCGGCAGGGCACATTAGGAGGCGACCCTGGAATAAACACTGTCCGACGTAAGACAGCGGTTGAAGTCGAGAGACAAACGGTCTATTACCGGCACCTATCCCCACGTAGTCACTAGAATCTCTCTCATACCCACCTGGCCTTGGCTCTCCCCTTCCTTCAGTCCCTTCCCGCTGGCCGCTTTCTCAAGACTGGCCATAGCTTGCTCCAACTTCTCCTCCTGGGACAACAATGCCCGGAGCTTGGCTCTGGTAGTGGTACCGTAACAAAGCGTTGTTCATAGTCGAGGGAGGGGCGAGGCTGTTACGTTAGGTTACGGAAGAAATAGGGGGAGGAGGGGTTGAAGAAGTGCGTCCATCATACAAGCAAAACAAAATTGATGAGTCGTGTCTATCCTTTGCATTCTAGGGCCCTAATGCGCGACGGCGTTCCAGGTTAGACGACCGACTGGAGTGAGCGTAAAGAGAGGAAGCGTAACAATGCTACAATGGCAAACCTACCACACTTGTCCCAAAATCTTCCCCTCCTTCGCGCACAACTCGCAAACGTAAGAGTACGGGGAGCGAGCGACTGTGGTGCTACCGTGTTAAAATCGTATTCGCAACACAGCGGTATCCCATCGGTGGGGACAGGTGCGTAGCGCGATAGCAAAACAATGATCCATTCCGACTTGCCCGGTCCCCTTGATGCTCATCGACTGCGCCCACACCGAGAGCGGGCTGAAGAGCTCCCTCTGCATGCGGCTCGAGGAGGATTGGTACATGGCAGGCCGAGACGAGTCGCTCCTAGCGGTGTTTACGACCTCGAAGTACGCCAGCACCTGTCGAATCATGAATCGAACCACGCGGTGGTTAGTACATGGGAACATGAAACAAGTGCAGCGATCTCGGCAAATGACACAGAAAGGAAGCTGTTCCATGGGGCGTGAAACAGCTACAACACTCAAAGAAGCAAAAAAATACCTAATGGCGAATGTCAAAAATGCAACACTTTGTTGCTGATAGGTGAACAAACAAGCTGAAGCGTGGCGCGCACATCTCAGGCATGTCACAGACTTCGCGGGAACATATTAGCGCCTCAAAATGGCATTGAAGGCCCCGGGATGGGGCCGTGGTGAGCGTGTGATGAAGGGCATGAGCACTCGTCTGGAGTGGTGCAAGCAACATCTCTCCGTGGTGGCAAGATGTGTAGGAAGAAAAGCGGGAATGCAGGGTTGTACTAGGTCTCTGGAATCGACCGGCAACACGAACGCGACCAGGCCGTTGTCTGACACGGATAGGTTGCACACATGTTGTCCAGCTGAACGAAGACCCCGCCAAAGGAAGTCGCAGAACAATCCAGGCAGGCTACACAAAAGCGACCCAAGGCGGGCACGCCCCGTATACCTTTGGCCAGTCTTCCTCAGCGATGGCCTGCTGAAGGTCTCCCTCGTACCACGCCATGGCGTCCTAAACACGAAAAGGTAGCAACGGCGCTGGCGTTGTGATGATAGAAAGACGCTGTGGAGGTGTCGCCCTGATGCAAACCGCACAGATGGGCGTCCCCGTTCACAGGGACAAGGAAGGACAACACCAGTAGGGGGGCGGCAGGGGGGACACGTTCTGCTTGGGGCGCGCGCACAAGACGCGCGGAAAACCACCAAAAAAGCACAGCAGTACGATACAGGCATCATCGAGCACTCTGTGTGATCCGTGCGCCCATACGTAGTCCAATGCAGGGAATCCAAACAAGCAGCGGTTTCAATCGCTCACGGAGAGTTGATACTGGAAGTACTCCTAAAGGTAGGTGTCATTCACCCACCAAGATGCGAGGCACGTAGCGGAAGTACGATTTCTTCGTAGCCGCCAAAGCATTGTCTGCGAGCGCTGGGAGGGGGCTTCCGCACGCCCCGGCCAGGGAAAGGACCCCAGCCCCTGCCGCATAACGCCCCAGCTCCCTCAGAACCTCGCTCCTGCTGCTGCTGCTGCTGCTGCTGGCGAGGGGGGCAGAGCGTGGACCATGCTGAGGCGAGGAACAGCCAACCGCGCGCATCGTGGTGGTGGTGACTGCCGGATGAGCGGACAACGCCGGTATCCATGAAACAACCCCTCCTGCCGAAAATAGGTCGGGGTCCATGTCACAATCATGATAGTCAGTGAATTTGCTGGCTTCTGAAAGGCAACACCTTGAACATAATGCTAAAAGGCTACGCACGTTGGACGCCGCGTTGGAGCGGGTATTCTTGTACACACCGGACGACCTTCGGTGTCTATCACATCACAGACTGTCTGTCGTTGGCACTCCTACTCCTTGCTACAGCTGGCAGCTAACCAATACAAGCTGGGCCAGCCAAGTTGCATGCAAAATGGTTGAAACGATTTACACCACGATTTCTACGAATTATAACCTGAAATTTTGTCATGTGGTCGGTATTAGTACAACCAAGACCTTGACTGGAAGCACTCTTTTCTTTTTTAGCCCCCCTATACACAAAAAAAGGATCACCATTTGTCCTATAATAGGGCTACCTCGTGAAAAAAAAAAAAGGGTGCTCCCAGTCAAGGTCTTGGTTGTACTAATACCAACCACATGTCAAAACTTCAGATTCCAACTCGTAAAAGTCGTGATGTACTTGCGATAACCTCACATTTCCTTGGCTATCTTGGGTGTTGTGTCGGATTCTGTACGAGGCCATATCTCTTGGTAGAAGATGATTTGAGCCCTGGTACCAATTGCTGGTACCAATCATCATTTTTCTCGCACTGCTCCCAGGTAAGTGCACACAAGTTTCAGCTTATTTGGTGTAACTTTTTTTATGCTGATTTCAGTACCGGAAGTATTCCCCCCCACGCCGCCAACTGATGGTTTAGTACCTCAATCAACTCAGATTCGAACAATTCTGGCACCTGCGCTTCCCATACTGCTGTCTCATAAGAGCAGCCAAAAAAATTTCAAGTCCAAATTCGTGGAAACTACGGAATGAGACGCAAACGAACGAAAGTGAGCTTTTCGCCTGGCCCGGCTTGTACTGCCAGGCACGCAAGCGACTTGCGCGACGGGGTATAAGACCACGCCGACACAAAGTCGAAGCTTTCATAATTTTTGTGAATGTCTGTGGTCATCCACATTGCTTGAAGGAACGCCGATACACACCGAACACAAGCAGGGTTCGAGGTTTGAAGTAGCAACCAATGTGCTGCGCCCCAGACAGAGCGTCTATCTGCTGTGAACTGGTTGTGAAGACAAACAGTGGCTTCTCAAACCTGGAGCCAGTAACAAGAGCCTGAGCAAGTTTCGGACCATGATTGCAATGAAGGGCGGAAGTAGCACACGCAACTCCAGGAGGAAGGAGGTGGGGAGTAGGTGGAGGGAGAAAGGAGAAAACTGATCATGTGCGGCAAAAATGCGGGATATATGGGGTAAAGTTATGCGGTGCAACGCCACTGCTTGTTGCCGTGTTGACGTTCCGAAGCGGCACACAAACCAAGCCGGGGGCGTGATTTGCGCCGCGGTAACTGGCGCGAGGCGCGAGGCCTGAGAGTTGATCGTGCCCTATATTTGGATGTGATGACCTGTTTGAGGGGTGGTGTGCCCATTGAGACGGTCTCCACTGCGCGCCTGCTGCTGTTCATAGCAGCCCCCTGTTCGCCATCTCAAGGACTGGAAGTTCGATAAAGCTAGCGAGCAATATGAAATGGGGAACAAGCACGCCAAGTCGCGCAGCGGCAAGAGCAAGGTTGTAGCAGACAATCAGCGACCGCAGCAGCGGCAGCAGGCCCAGAAGCTACAATCCCTGAACGAACAGGATAAGGGGCAGACTAGGCCATCCACAGTACAGGAAAACCCTCACAAGGTGGGCACATAAGTTGAGCGCATTCCGACAGAGAAGTTTGTGCAGCATTCGTTCATGATATGCACCGAGGCGTGAGGCGTCCAGCGCTTGACTACATCCTAAAGGCACACAAGGGTGTGGATCTCACCGACTGTCATGTGAGATATGCGCACAAGAAGTAGTCTGGTGGTCTTTGGTGGTTGCAAGGGTGTAAGAAACACTTCTGAGGTCGATGTTGTCTCGACAATGGTTGTTTGACTTTGTTTCAGAGCTGTTAGTCGAAGCCAGCCCTACACCTGGCAGCAGGTGATCGCCGCGGTTGTTTACGATAGAACAAGTTCTCTAAACACTGCACCCCGCCCCCTGCTCCATTCTGTTGGTGCTCGGCGGCACAGGAACTGCATGGAGATACTGGGAGTCTCCCCGCTCCCACGGCCGGGGAAGTGGATGGTTGCTCGACGACTACAGAAACTGCAACATACGCCGGCGGCGGGCAACGTTTTCCAAACACTCGGTTGAATCCAACCCCCGCCGTCGCCGATGAAGCTGCGCGGCAGCCGCCCACTATGCGCACTCCGACCACTACTAGGAAGAGCGAAAATAGCAACAAGGCGCCACCGACGGTAACTAAGCTACCAACGGAGACTGAGGTATCGGTGGCCATGGGGGTGAGAAGCATCGACCGGCAGCCGACCACACGTGCGGAAGGAGGAGATGCAATCGCCAGCAACTCGCCTAGTACCCACCAACCGCTGCAGCCACGACAGCAACACCAACATCAGCAGCACAACGAACCACAACAGGCCACTCTTAAACCAAACGCTGCAGAAGGCGATGGCACCAGCAACAGTGGCAGACCACCCGGTGCAGCGTTAGCTGCAACGGCCACGAACGGCTACGTATCGTTTTCCGAGTCTGAGGAATCCGCAAACCTTTCCATTCCTGCTTTCACCACGCTTCCCGAACAGCAACGCTCCTCGCGAAGCAACACTTCCCTTGAACACGACAGTCGGGGCGTTGTTGCCGATGGGCAAGTAGAGCGGCGGCCATCGGATCAACAAGCCAATGTTCTTTCCAGCGGTGACGGTGGTAACAACAGCAGTGACGACAAATGGGACTTTGGTGAGGACAGCGAGGATGAACCAGAGGCTGATGGTATGGAGGTGGCTGCAGGCGGCGGGAGGGATGGAAGCCGATATGGTGGCCGCAATGCACACCACGAGCCGCAGCAACACCACCACCCAGCGGCTACACCCGTGTCGGCCGTTATCGGCGATAGTGGCGGCAGAAACGAAAGTAACGCGGAGGATAAACCACAGGTCCAAGTGGTTGTCGACAGACTAGGTCGGCGGCAGAACGTCCCCGCGCGGTAAGTGAGAAATTTCCAAATGCGTGCGTGGATGATGCACGTGCATATACGTCCATATGGAGAGAGAACAACTGATATGTGGGGCAGGCTAGGGAGATATGCCTTGCCGCCCTCCGGCAACATGGAGGGGTTCCTTGTCCTAGTCCGTATAATAATGGCAATCGCTTATTGAGAGATATCCTCATACACTTGAAGTAGTATTTAGTGCTCTCATCTGCATATTCTAATGTTGACCATATTACCCTTTTCTAAGTCTTTGTGGCGCGGGTATTGCCGACGTTCCCAGAGATCTGTCCTCTTCATCGTCTAGAGGTGAGTTTGACGGCTGGGGTGACGACGACAATGACGAAGATGAAGACGACGAAGGTGACGACGACACCGACGAGGACGATGACGGCAACGTGTACGATTGGACCGTCATGGACACAGGAGGTGAGGGAGGGGACAGAGGCCAACGTGACCGGGAGGATATCGACATGTACATGGCGAAGGGCAGAGAGGAAATTCCCACAAGACTGAATTAGAGAGGAACAAAGCGCGAGAGATTAAGAACCAGAGGAGAGGCACAAGAGACATAGGTAAGCAACCAGACAGTCAGGAAGGGCGTTCTAGTACGCAATGATTTCAGAGCACCAAACGCCCTCCATCCTACCTAATGGATACACTGTGTCGATATGCGTGGCCTGATCATGGCAGCCCCACCTCCGTGCGAAATCCTACGTTGCTTGAAGACGGGTCTCTGGACGGTGAGGTTGGGGAACTGGGCGATTCGCGGAAACCTTCCGAAAGATCGGTGGGCGACGGCAGTAAGCCAGCAGCGTCCGCAGCCAAACCGAGGGTGGAGGCAAACCCCTCAGCGAGTAAGCTCGGGCTCGGCGCTAGCGTGCCTCGCGTCGCCGTGCCTCCGGCGATGACAGCATCAGCGGCGCATATTCCGCTGCAGCAGGGTCCCGGGCGGGGGCAAGCGCCTGGGCGGGGGCAGGGGCGGGGCCCCCATCGAGGACGAGGGTACAAGACCATTGCCCCCGGGAGGGGGGGGCGACCGCGGTACTCGCCGTTGACGCAGGCAAGCCATCACCGACAACTATATTCGGAGTTGCCTGACGAAAAACGCACACCACGTGCGGTTTGTTCGAGTTCTGACTCGCAGAGAATTGTGTTTGTATTTGTAGAAACGAGCTCAGGGCAAAGGTTGGTTGGGTTGTATCAGCAATGACGCCGCACACCTCAGTTGGTTTCCGGGAGTGACGCCTGTCTTCAATCGTGGGAACGCGTGCCCTTTTGACTTGTTTTGAGCCAAAGTACTCGTGCGTCTCGTTCAGTGTCACGCAAATCACACTCTTCATCGCTCTTCGGGCACAATGAGTGACGTCACATGAATAAAGCACCACCCGTCTTCTTTGATCAGGGCCGACCCCAATACTTCCGTCCGCAAGGATACGAGCCTGCACACCCAAACAAACGGGCGGGCGTCATGCCTGTCCCTGGAAACAGCAACAACAGCAACAGCCTTAGTAATATCGGCGGCGGGCCTGCTGCAGCTGGACCAGTTTCTCCTGCAACAGCACCATCTTCTTCGCAGATGGCAGGAACTGTCACCAATAATCATGCCAGGCCAGGGCCATCGGCACCCAACGGCGGGAGGGTAGGACCGGGAGCCGGCAGCACGCCTACCGGAGCCAGAAACCCCGACAATGGCGCGGGAGCACCACCGGGCCCCAGCGCCGTTGCTACGACCCAAGTAGCCACCACCGCACCCACCACCGCCGCTCCGTCTTCGCCTATGATCCCTCGCGGGGTACGTCGTGGTTTGTCAGGAGGAGGGGCAGGGGGAGGCCGAGGAAGAGGAGGGGGCTTTGTCGGGTCATCTTCCGCGGTTGCTGGTGGTGAAAGGAGAGACCACCGCACATCGGCGGCCGCGGCGGGGTACTCAGGAGCTAGACCGGTGACGGCGGCGGCGGCGGTGGCCGCTTCGGCCTCTACGACGACGGCGTCCGAAGGTGTAAGGAGGTCTTTGCCCTCTCGCACATAGTGTTTGGGGGTTCTGCTCGCGGCGCTCGGTGCAGTCGCGAGTTGTGAGGGTGTCCTGCATTGATCGCGAGGGTGCTTGAGGGAATGGGAGTGGGCCACTCCGGTTTGGAACCATGCTCCTTTAGTTCCAAGTCCTTCGACCAACCTGATTGAATTGTGGTGGATGACAGTCTAAACTCCTCTTTCTGATGAAGATCCTCTAGGAAACCTCACCGTCTAAAAAACAATTCCGAATCAGTTCCCTGGAAGGGCTTGGTCTAATTTTTCTAGGTTCAGGGGGGTTCGCGTACATGCTCTGCTCGAGTGACCGCGTTGACGCGGAAGGGCGGCATCGACTCTCGGTAGTCACCACACGTGCCCCAGGGAGACCGGTGAATGCGCGGCTCTTTCTGTCAGCCAGCCAGTGGGTGCAAAAAGCGCAACACTCTTCTCTCGGTTCAGTCCCCGTATCCTCGTTCGTGTGCTGGCAGGCACCATCGGGAAGGCCGCCGGGGGATCAGCGAGGCCGGCAAGCGGCAGCCCTGGCGCCTCTGCGGCCGGTGCAAACAGGTCGACTCGTAGCGGAGCAGCATCGAGATCCGGAGAGATGGCCGCGTCGACACCGGCGACGGCGATGGCCGGGGCTGGGGCGGCGGCTTCCACGGCGTTGCAGAACGAGAAGGAGGTAAAGTCCTCCGCAAGACCTGTGCTACCATTGCTGGGTTATGATGCTTCCCATTGAGGAATACGAGCATCCACCTATAGTCCAGTGTACAGAGACGTGGGATTGTATTTATGTACGAAAGAGTTTCCCGCTGGGGCAAGCAAGGCAGTGACTCTACTTTTATTTGCGGGAGGAGTTAACCCAATGTGTGTGCCTGAGCAGCAATCGGCTCCTGCTGAGGAGACGAGGTTGGGTCGGCGGGGCCCGTAGGCAACATTCGGCACATGCACAACCTTTGTGAGCTCATTGTGCCTCTCCGTATGTTGAGCCTCCTGGATGTTCGAGAGGGTTCAATCGCCATGGGTACTCGCGAACAGACTAGTCGATCGCAGCAGGTAGGCCGAAAACGGATAAAGGGGTGCGAGGTCGATGCTTCGTGCTGACACTACCGTCATGTTTTGGTTCGGACAGCGTCGCGCGTGGCGTCCGGCAAACCAAGGCATGCTCGCCCCCGCAGGCTACAATATTGACAACTAAAACAGCACGTACGCGCGGCACATCGCCCCGCATCAATCCACATCTGCAAACCCCACGTTGATTACACCGTACCCCCCAATACCGTGTGCGGGGTGATTCCGGACATGGTTCTGTGTACGACCGGGTGCACGGGTGTTAGGCGGTGAAGGACACGGCCAGCATCACCCGCAAGAAGGCGCAGCTCCCGCAGCAGGAGAAGCTGGAGCACCCCACGCCCGTGGGGGGCAGCTGGCTCAAGAACCGATACATCGTCAACAACTACATCCTTCTGGAGCCTCTGGGCACGGGCAGCTACGCCGAGGTGGGTGCAACGAGAGTGCTCTGCGACAGCACGTGGTTGGCTGGCGCAATTGTGCTACATGTAAGTGCTTTCGGAGCAGTTTGTTGTAATATTCTTGGCGGGCCACGGACTCCTGTGCTTGATCGCGTGCAGGAATAAACCTTAGCCTTTCACGGCATCCAACTGAGGTTCATACCATCTTGGTGTAAGGTATCGACCCTAGAGCTTGTAGACGCTTGCAAGCAAGGTCTTTTTGCAGTACGCGGGTGTGTCCGAATCAAGGGCACTGCCACTGCTCTGAGCTCGTCCTCTACAGCCGGTGAGCGCATGATGGCATTCAAACACCTTTCTCCGTTGTGATGTGTTGGATGGCCGCATGCACAGGGGAGAAGAAAGTCAACCTAGCCATCGAACTCACCGCACAGGGCACCCTCACGTCACGCTTATGCTACAACTCTCCCTCTCTCTCTCTCTCTCTCTCTCTCCCTCTCTCTCTCTCTCCCTCTCTCTCGTTGCCCTCAAACATTGTCGATGCCTGTCCCACTCACCTCGTCGTTGCCCCGCTTCTTCTTACCACTTACAAAGGTGCGACTAGCGAAAGAAAAGACCTCCAACACGCTGTACGCCGTGAAGATCATGAACAAGGATTTCCTCAAGAAGAGACAGGTCAGAAAAAGACTGAGAATGGGAGAATAAGAGTGACAAAAATTGGTGGCGCGACGTCTGTTTTACTTGTGACTGTTCTTCGGATAGCATCGGCCAAAAGCGTAGTCATCAAAACTGACACGTGCAGTCACGCTGCGTATGTGAATAATGCCAGTCTTTATCACCGGCAATAAAGACGGCAACAGTGGCAGTAGCATCAGTACCAGTTCCAACAGCATCAGCAGCAACCGCAACAAATATGACATCATCCCTTGGCATCAACGCCAAACATTACTTGCTTTGTTCAGGTGGGCAAGGAAGAAACCTTCATGGACAGCATCAAGAGGGAGATCGCCATCATGAAGAAGGTCCACCACCCCAACGTCTTGCGGCTATATGAGGTCATGGACGACCCTAAGGTAACACCAACTTGACTTGGGGTAGGACCAATATGCAAAATCTGTTTGGAATATCTCAACAAGCGAAAGAGACATTTAAACGCAAAGTCAACGGACCGAAATGAGTGGATAGCGAAAGGACCAGAACGAGCGATCAGCAAAGTGAACGTGAGCATGGAAGACCGAAGTATCTCATGGAAACAGCGTGTCGATGAAATCGAGGAGAGTATACAAGCAATGTTTAGTTTCACAGCAAGTCGTGGACGTGTGAGTAGAGTGTATGTATACCAACGTCTGTTACATACCCGGCCTAACCAGTGAGCTGACATTTCTCGTTGCGTACTTGCCGTTCATCGCCGTGCGCTCGTGTACCGGGGCGAATTTTGTCCTTCGGGGCCGGCCGGTCCGTGACAAAAGGTGAACAAACTATATCTGGTGCTCGAGTACTGCAAGAAGGGGGACCTGATGAACATCCTGAACGGCGACACGAGGACGATTACATGCGACCCCATGAACGATACCGACGTGTGGTACATCATGCGACAGGTAGAAAACCACGAACCCCGCGCGCGCGCAGTGCCAATCGGCGGTGTGTGAAGAATGTGCTGGTTTTCGCGCTCGTGAACACTCTAATGCGAAGACGTCACTGAACCACTGATAGATGAGAACACGCAACTGCTACTGCCTAGAACCCCCCCGCGTTCTGCCCTTCTTGCCAAATCTTGCACGAAGTACTCGCGCATGCGCTCTCTCCAAATCTTTGTTGTCGTTCATTGTGCTTCTTCGTGCGACAATATGAAAATACATCGTCTGCATCTTTTGCGCTTTTGTAACGGCGGCATGCTGCGTTTCCTGTTTCTCGTATCCTTGTCTTGGCCTTTCTGTCCATCCGTCCGCCTTGCCTGTCTATCTGAACACGATTCTCTCATGACGAGTACGCTGTTCACATGTCGTTCGATCACACTTCGTGGAAAACCCAACGAATAATGCAGATTGTACAAGGGCTGAGCTTTCTCCACCTGCAGAACATCGTGCATGGAGACATCAAGCCCCAGAACCTACTGGTACGCCTTAGTCCCCTGTTTCTAGAGACATGGATTGCTTTCATTTGCGTCTAAGACTTGCGAAATGTGTGCATTCGCCCTCCGAACCGGCGTGGACATTTTCGGCCTTGGTAAATGTCGTTCAATTTTCGACACGTATAACTGATGCAAAAAAGTATTGCCTGATGATGAGCCGTGGTAGATCATGATTTTCAACCCATCAGAGCAGGGTTGATATGCTCGGTGTTGAACGTGAACGCCGCCCGTCTACATACCAAACCTGTTTCTACTTGTTGTTGTTGTCGTTGATGATGATGATGTCGTCATCGTCGTTGTTGTCAAAGTTCTGCTCGTGCTCGCTCTCGTGTGCTGTGTCCTTTGTCAACATGTCAATACAGCTTCATTATTGATCAACGTCTGGGGTACATTGGTATAACAGGTTGGGTCGAACAACGTCGCCAAGATCGCCGATTTTGGCATCAGCAAGTTCGTGCAGGGATCCAACCAGCGGTTACAGGAGCAGGTGCAATGCGATATTTTGTAGCGGTCAGATGGCCCGCAACGCGGGAGGGGCGTTGTTGTTCACGAACTCTCGGCCGTTGCTGGGCCGGGGGAAGGTTGATGCAAGGGAGACACACCAGCGCTCGTGCAAGGCCTAACGTAGCAGTGCGCTGTTGCACATGAGGAGATTCTACGCACTCGACACGAGCAATGCTGCTGCTATAAACTAACCGAAACCTCACGACTACGTACACTTGCAAGGCCGGGACGCCGACGTTCATGTCCCCCGAGCTTTGCTACGGGGAGGGATACTCGGGCCAACTGGCCGACGTGTGGGCGCTGGGGGCGACCATGTACATGATCCGCTGCGGGAAGCCACCCTTCATGGCCAACCAGGTGTGTGTGTTGCGTGTGCTGGAGCTGTTCGGACGCAGTAGTCGCCGAGAATACGGCGGCCACCAAAGACATTCTGTGTGTCTGTCGGGGGAACGTGTCGCCGAATATCTCCTTTTTCAGCCAAAACACATGGGCCGCTGATATGTTGTAGTCCAATCGTGTGAGGAACCCGCACGCTGGTGTGCCCAGAGGGTTTCCTAGCGTGTTTAGGTCAAGGTGTGTCAAATGCGCGGATGCAAGATGGAGAATAAATGCGCCTCATCCTGACGGGCTCGCGGCGGAATCCTGTCCAGGTGATGGTGCTCTACGACAAGATCCAGAATGACCCGCTGGACTTTCCTCCAGAGGTGAACATGTCGCCCGGTCTTCGGAGGCTGCTGAGGGCCATGATGGAGAAAGATCCGGCGAAACGGATCATCCTTGACCAGGTACGCATGCTCCTCATCACTACGGTAGACCCTGTTTATTGGTGTGTTTTGTGCCTTTCTACTTAATGAAACCCGCAAGCCAAACGCACCACGAGCCACAAACTTCCGGTTTCATGTGTCCCATGGCGGTTTCATACAAGCAGGTGCTTGCAGATCGCTGGCTCCAGCAGGGAGACTACGGCCCCGCTCGCACCACCACGGCGGGCGGCGTCCGCACCAAGGTCACCACCGCCCCCGCCGCCGGCGCCGTCAGTTCGTCCTCTCAGGGCATGCCTTCTACTGCTTCTCCGAACATCCCGGGAGGCGGCGATACCGGCGGAACCACAGCCGGCATCCCTCGGAACAGAAACAATATCATCAGCAGCGGCAGCTCCGCGAGCGTAGGCGGCGGTGGGGTTGGCCTCGGCTTGCGACCCCCGCCCTCCCTGTCCTTCCTGCCCCTAACCGAGCAGGGCTATCGGGCAATCAAGGTTAGCGACGACGAGGTACACACGAGCATCAACCAGGGCATCACCACGGGCGGGAATTCTGGGCCTGGGTCTGCTGCCGGAGGCGGCTCGTCACCCGTCAAGCAGCAGAGGTATTCTTTTTTGTTTTTTTGGCGCGGAATTTTTCAAAGGAAGGATGACGGAGACGTCGGCAGGGACGGGGCGTCGGACGAAGCACACCTCGGTAGTTTGTGTTTCTGATCATGGATTTGGTTCCACTTCTGTAGGAGTATTCTCGCCGCACCTCATCGAACGACGGCAGGGCTTGAGCCGAAGCCAAGTTACCAATAGCAGGAGACAGGTAGATTGAAGCAGCTAGATAAGTCGTTGAGGGGCAGGAGTCTACATCGATATGATTGGTGGATCATTTTTTTTGCACGCCCAACATGGGGTTCTTTGTCGGTTGCCGTCTGTTTTATTCCATCATGTACCGTCACTCGCACATAGGCCGCCTTCCATACAACATAAGACGCTAGTTTTGCGTCGCTATGATTCGGGGCTCCTTCTGTCAGGAGTATTGCCCCCTTAACGATTTTTTATTGCAGCATCATTCAAATGTCGGGCGATGGTATCTGGTCGTATGTCGCAGAGGTACAACCGCCGCAAACTCTACGACGTCGCCCATTATGGAGGAATCAGTAACGACGCCGACGACACCGTCGCCTGCTCTAGCCGGTGGAAGCGGGGGGAACTCCCCTGCTCCGGCCATCTCACCCTCAGGACGAGCTGGGATCGGAGGAGAACGCCGTGGAGAAGGAGATGGAAGCAGAAACAACGGGGGTAGCATCGGCAACAGCAGCAGCAGGGGACACCTCAGCGAGACCGAAGAGGTGGGTAGGTATAGACATCACGGCGGTGTTCACCTGCCCCCCCGTCCCTCTTCATTGTCGTACGGTTTCTTTTCTCGCCCTTCGCCTCGTTGATGACCGTCTCTCGACTGGAGCATGGTCGATAAAGTCCTGTGCTCTAAGAGACCACGGCAACGTTCTCCAGTCCAGAAAAGTGTTTCCCTCGCTCGTCCAGAACCGCTGGACCATGCGATGATGTTTGAACGGCCAGTTCTCTAAAGTGGAAAATCGGTACAGGTGTGCGTGTCGAGGTTCGACCGTTACCCTCAGGAGAAACCAAGCAGAGATGCTTCGTCGATACCATGTGCTGGGATTCTGCTAGGAAACCCTTGGCGCAAGCCTAGCCTATAGTTCGGAGACCCTACTGTTTTCCGCTCCGGTCGGTCCGTCCGGCCGCTCGCCTGCCCCAAAATATAAATTTCATGCTTATGTTTGTGGAAACGTTTGAAGCTAGTCCAGGGATACCCTGGTCTCCCGGCTAAACGTTTCATGATTGACGGGGTTCCCCCTTTCGTTGCAATGGAAGATTTCTCCCACCCCCGACGCCGAAGGATGGGGACGTGGTAAGCAAACTAGGGAAATACCGGTGGGTAGGGAAGGCAAGAAAGGGCTGAGACCCGAAGAAAAGGGGGGAGGGGGGAGTCGGATTCCTGGTCAAGGAACACTTGTTTGACGTGGTGGAAGTAGTGGTGAAAACGGAGTCCGAGGAAAGCCTATGGCTTAAGATACCTGGGGAGCGGGGTGAGAAAGATTTGTTTCTAGGGAACGTATGCGTCCCACCGTCGTCGAAGAAAGTCGCAAGCAAGGCGCAGGAGAACTTTGGACAAATTGGGGAAGATGTCCAGAGGTTCAGTAGGAAGGGAGAAGTTGTCATGGTGGGCGATTTCAACTCCAGAGTAGGGAAAGCTTCCAGTAGAGGACAGGCGATCGGGCAGCACGGAGAAGA